ATCTTTAAAAGATGTTTATGTATCTTTATGTATTAGTTATTATGTATCTTTAAAAAATGTTTACATCTTTATAGATGTAAAGGCAGAAGGAAACAATGAAAATGATATTACCTCCAGAGCAAAGAGTCAACCGAAACTCCTACATAGCAAAATGACAGTGATTGACCAAGTGACCAGGTTACGAGAAAAGGAAGCTGAGTTGACAGCACTCGGGGTTCGTAGTCCTAAGGGCCCGGGTTCGATTACCGGCCGAGGTAGAAACAAATTGCGCAAAGTTTCTTTCATCCTGATGGGCCTGTTCACCTAGCAGTAAATAGGTACCTGGGAGTTAGACAGCGGTTACGGGCTGCTTCCTGTGTGTGTGTGTGTGTGTGTGTGTGTGTTGTGTGTGTGTGTGTGTGTGTTGTGTGTGTGTGTGTTAGGGGTGAAATATATGTAGTAGATATAATGCAGGAAAATAGATTGGCTAGAAAGGCGGGGTCCAAGAGCTAATAGCTCAGTTCTGCAGATACAAATAATAAATACACTTTTACTTTCTCCCTCCTTTGTGCTCTCACCCCCTTCCCTCACCCCCTTCCCTCACCCCTTCCTTCCCTCACTCCCTCACCCCCTCCCTCACCCCCTTCCCTCACCCCCTTCCCTCCCCCCTTCCCTCACCCCCTTCCCTCACCCCCTTCCCTCACCCCCCCTTCCCTCACCCCCTTCCCTCACCCCCCCTCACCCCCTCACCCCCTTCCCTCACCCCCTTCCCTCACCCCCTTCTCACCCCCTTCCCTCACCCCCTTCCCTCACCCCCTTCTTCCCTCACCCCCTTCCCTCACCCCCTTCCCTCACCCCCTTCCCTCACCCCCTTCCCTCACCCCCTTCCCTCACCCCCTTCCCTCACTCTCACCCCCTTCCCTCACCCCCTTCCCTCACCCCCTTCCTTCACCCCCTTCCCTCACCCCCTCCCTCACCCCCTTCCCTCACCCCCTTCCTTCACCCCCTTCCTCACCCCCTTCCCTCACCCCCTTCCCTCACTCTCACCCCCTTCCTTCACCCCCTTCCCTCACCCCCTTCCCTCACCCCCTTCCCTCACCCCCTCCCTCACCCCTTCCTTCACCCCCTTCCCTCCCCCCTTCACCCCCTTCCCTCACCCCCTTCCCTCCACCCCCTTCACCCCCCCTTCCCTCACCCCCTTCCCTCACCCCCTTCCCTCACCCCCTTCCCTCACCCCCTTCCTTCACCCCCTTCCCTCACTCTCCCTCACCCCCTTCCCTCACCCCCTTCCCTCACCCCCCTTCCCTCACTCTCCCTCACCCCCTTCCTTCACACGCTCTCTCACCCCCTTCCTCTCACTCTCACCCCCTTCCCTCACCCCCTTCCCTCACCCCCTTCCCTCACCTCTCTCACCCCCTTCCTTCACCCCCTTCCCTCACACTCACCCCCTTCCCTCACCCCTTTCCCTCACCCCCTTCCCTCACACTCTCTCACCCCCTTCCCTCACCCCCTTCCCTCACACCCTTCCCTCACCCCCTTCCCTCACCCCCTTCCCTCACCCCTCTTCCCTCACCCCCTTCCCTCACCCCCTCCCTCACTTCTCACCCCCTCACCCCCTTCCCTCTCTCACCCCCTTCCCTCTCTCTCTCACCCCCTTCCCTCTCTCTCTCTCCTCTCTCTCTCACCCTAACCCCTTACCTCACTCCTCCAAACTCCTCCATTTTTAATTTCCTGTTCATCCATTTCTGTTTCTATTGACATTATATTCCTGACCTGAGTATTCCGTGTGTCGTCGACGCCTTAAGAACTTTCTTCCTCTGGTTAATCCTCAACAAAAAAAATTCTAATAAAAATAACTTTCTTTTCCAGGTAGGTGGATCTTGGGAGAGATGAGAGGCAGTTACCTGCACGTTGAGGCGCAGGTCCCTACAGAGGCTTCCACAGGTAACTTCTACATTTGACTTCTCCTTTAGGGGTCCTGGTTCGTGTCTGCCTCTTGCTTCTTGACGCAGTTATGTTTGAAATCCTTTGTTTTATGTGTTCCTCACGTGTGCCCCAAAGAATGAAGTGATTTGATAAAATTCCATGCCCAAGATTACCAACCGAGTGCCGGCGGGGGGGGGGGGGGGTGGGGGAGTGGAAATAGCCTCGGCTACCATCCTCTTTTGTCCGGTCGTGTTGGTCGAGCGGTTAAGGGATCCTGTACGCCAGTAGAGTGCTCCTGGTAGTATGGGTTCGAGTCACTTCTGGGGGTGTGAGTTTTCGGTTACATATATATATATATATATATATATATATATATATATATATATATATATATATATATATATATATATATATATATATATATGATATTGGTAACAGTCTTTCATGTAAACGTGTTATTCAATGTGACAAAGGCTGGGAACAATGATTCTAACTCATATCTTATCTATTTTACATATGTTTTTCTTGATTTGAGAAGTTGAAAAATTAACTCTACAAAAGTTCATTTTACAGTCTTATTATGGCCTGACGCAGAGATGAGTTTCGTTGACACTCAACATTTTCAAAGGTAGAGTGTGAGTGGAAACAATTGGGTTAGAGCAGCCGAACATACGTGAGGTGAGACCAATGGGCCCACTGCACCTTACCAGTCATCGATGTTTTAATGCTGGCCGGAGCAGTGTGTTGGTAAGTTACGCTACACCTTCTCATTACGGGCTCACCATAGCCCGTGCTACATGGATATTTCGTTCCGAGTAGCGAAATCTAAAACAACAACAACAGTGTGTTGGTTACGGGCTATTCATGCCCGTGCCACCTCTTGGGTGGCCTAATCATCATCAATCAGTGTTGATTGATGAAGATTAATTGCTGTTGCGTCTTGATCTGGAAGATGGCGGAGGGTGACCTGGTGTCAGCTGGCTGGTGATAGTTGGCTGGGTTTGTTGAGTCTAATTTTATGCTGTATCTTAGTGTTGTGTCAGGATGTCTCTGGTGGTGTGTAGCGACCATGTGCGCCTTGCTCAGGTCTGGCTGTTTGGGTATTGTCAGGCACAATCCACAACCTTGTTGGTAGTGCATTGTGCTTACTACAGGAACGTTTTGTTTTCCTCAGCCCATAGAACGGAAGCGAGAGTCCTGAAGAACATTATAGATAGAAACGGGGGCCGCCTTACCAACACCAACCAGAAGATTGAATTAATAATATATTATAACTTATGAAAAACTCTCCTGACACCAAACAAAACGCTTTGTAAGAGAATGTCGTCTATTGCCCTCACATGTCCACTTGGGAACGCTGAGCCCCAGTGATCTCAATATATAGGCAAGACAATAACATCTGTTCCAGGGCGCCTGACAGTACACAAACAGCAACACCCAGTCAAGGAAAATTTATTTGCAACACCCAACCAGAGCATTGCAAAGTGTGTCGCCTCGCTCTGTCGTATGTTCGACTACTCTAACCCAATTGTTCCCACTCCTACTGCGCCTTGAAAATGTTGACAGTGTCGACGAAACGCACCTCTTATCGTCAGGCTAAATATATAGTACAAGGGTATATTCGTACGTTATATTCAGTATATATATATATGTCGTACCTAATAGCCAGAACGCACTTCTCTGCCTACTATGCAAGGCCCGATTTGCCTAATAAGCCAAGTTTTCATGAATGATTTGTTTTTCGACTACCTAACCTACCTAACCAACCCTAACCTAACTTTTTCGGCTACCTAACCTAACCTAACCTAAAAAGATAGGTTAGGTTAGGTTAGGTAGGGTTGGTTAGGTTTGGTCATATATCTACGTTAATTTTAACTCCAATAAAAAAATATTGACCTCATACATAATGAAATTGGTAGCTTTATCATCTCATAAGAAAAATAATTGAGAAAATATAATAATTCAGGAAAACTTGGCTTATTAGGCAAATCGGGCCTTGCATAGTAGGCAGAGAAGTGCGTTCTGGCTACTAGGTACGACATATATATATAATATATATATATATATATATATATATATATATATATATATATATATATATATATATATATATATATATATATAATACAATATTCCAATATTATATATAATATGGGAAGCAGTCGGTCTTGTTGTGTGTTAATGAATATTTCCGAGAAAGTTAAATGATTTTTGCCACGTATCTTCGTCATTTTCTATGACTGTGACTTGAGTATAAAGTTGTAAGGTTAAGTTTCCAGCTACAGTGGGCACGGGGGCGCCTCTCGCCAAGTTCTTAAAGAAGTATCCACGCTAACTTTTATCTGTGGCTGAGGACGGAGGCGGATTGGCAAGGGGAAGATCGTTAGAGGAAAACTACCACCTGGCTGACTCCCACATTCGTCTGGAGGACGACTCCCATGTGAAGTGTTACCTCTCAAACAACTCCCATGGCAACTCACTCCTCCCACCTTCGCTCTGCAATTTGAGATGGATGTCATCATTTGTCTCCGGGCAACCCATCTTGACCTCATTTTCCACCCCCCAGTAACCCCAGGTCTGGGGGGTGGGGGAGTGGATGGGTGGGATGGGGAGTGGGTGGTTGGGATGGGGAGTGGGTGGTTGGGATGGGGAGTGGGTGGTTGGGATGGGGAGTGGGGGGTTGGGATGGGGAGTGGGGGTTGGGATGGGGAGTGGGGGGTTGGGATGGGGAGTGGGGGGTTGGGATGGGGAGTGGGGGGTTGGATGGGGAGTGGGGGGTTGGGATGGGGAGTGGGGGGTTGGGATGGGGAGTGGGGGGTTGGGATAAGGAGTGGGTGGTTGGGATAAGGAGTGGATGGTTGGAAGAGGGGGGGGGGGACGTGTGTGTGCCCCCCCCCTGCCTTTCTGTCTTCAGGTGACGGTCGATTTTAAGTGCCCTTACCCTAACCTGCCAGAGGACCCAAAACAGAAAAAGAGACAGTACGTCATTTGCTTGAGCCGCCTCCATTTTCTATTACGACAATTTTTAACTTTATGTAACGCATACGAGCGAAAAGCGATGTTCTTAGTAAGAAGACAGGTTGGTTGACCATGTTTCAGTGGGCTGTCATGGGCAGTGGGCTGTCATGGGGCAGTGGGCTGTCATGGGGCAGTGGGCTGTCATGGGGCAGTGGGCTGTCATGGGGCAGCGGGCTGTCATGGGGCAGTGGGCTGTCATGGGGCAGTGGGCTGTCATGGAGCAGTGGGCTGTCATGGAGCAGTGGGCTGTCATGGGGCGGTGGGCTGTCATGGGGCGGTGGGCTGTCATGGGGCGGCGGGCTGTCATGGGGCAGTGGGCTGTCATGGGGCAGTGGGCTGTCATGGGGCAGTGGGTTGTCATGGGGCAGCGGGCTGTCATGGAGCAGCGGGCTGTCATGGGGCGGTGGGCTGTCATGGGGCGGTGGGCTGTCATGGGGCAGTGGGCTGTCATGGGGCAGTGGGCTGTCATGGAGCAGTGGGCTGTCATGGAGCAGTGGGCTGTCATGGGGCGGTGGGCTGTCATGGGGCGGTGGGCTGTCATGGGGCGGTGGGCTGTCATGGGGCGGTGGGCTGTCATGGGGCGGCGGGCTGTCATGGGGCGGCGGGCTGTCATGGGGCAGTGGGCTGTCATGGGGCAGTGGGTTGTCATGGGGCAGCGGGCTGTCATGGAGCAGTGGGCTGTCATGGGGCGGTGGGCTGTCAAGGGGCGGTGGGCTGTCATGGGGCAGTGGGCTGTCATGGGGCGGCGGGCTGTCATGGGGCGGCGGGCTGTCATGGGGCGGCGGGCTGTCATGGGGCAGCGGGCTGTCATGGGGCAGCGGGCTGTCATGGGGCAGCGGGCTGTCATGGGGCAGCGGGCTGTCATGGGGCAGCGGGCTGTCATGGGGCAGCGGGCTGTCATGGGGCAGCGGGCTGTCATGGGGCAGCGGGCTGTCATGGGGCAGCGGGCTGTCATGGGCAGTGGGGTCTTCAGTTGGCGCACTTTCCTGGCTCCTCCGTCTGCGGACCTATATAAATACCAGCTCGTATTTATATAGGTCTCGTTATAAGGTCTGTCGTTAGCGAGGTTCATAGCCATGGTCACGTAACGAAGACCGTGTCGTTAGCGAGCTTATTATTACAAAGGTGCATAACGAAGTCTGCAGGTATTTCATTGATCTCTCTCTCTCGGTGATTGAATTTGTGATCTCAAATGTATTGATAGTGTTTATTGATCAATGGGTCCACCACATGCTATTTGAAGCTCTTCTCTCCCGACTTACTGCTCCATTCATTATTACATCTTTCAGTTATTACTTTTAACATCTTTATTGACAAAAATTAATTACAATTTTGCCTAATCTGAGGAATTCAATTAGGTCATATTAGAGTGAGGATAATACTGGTATTCACTGTCACACAGGTTATCATCTTCTTGAGATGATTTCGGGGCTTTTTAGTGTCCCCGCGGCCCGGTCCTCGACCAGGCCTCCACCCCCAGGAAGCAGCCCGTGACAGCTGACTGACACCCAGGTACCTATTTTACTGCTAGGTGACAGGGGCATAGGGTGAAAGAAACTCTGCCCATTGTTTCGCTGGCGCCCGGGATCGAACCCGGGACCACAGAATCACAGTCCAGCGTGCTGTCCGCTCGTCTTGTGGGATACACAAGACAATAGGTCTAAACTGTAGGCTGAGGCACATATATATCATGGTTACAATCAATGTTTTAATATACGAATATGTAAATACAACTTTCTATTGTGCACTGCTACACATGGACCGGGATGGGTTCGTAAGAGATGCAGCTTAATGGTAATATCTTTTAAGTGAGCTGTTTCTTGGTCTAGTCAATCTCTCTTGGCCAGCATGCTGACGGCAAGACCTTATCCTTATTTCAACTTCCATTAGTATGGTTTCAAGTTTTTAAGTTTAGTATTTTAATCCATTTGTGAGCTCCTGTTATGACTTGCATCGCATCGTTTTGAGTAACCTCAGCCTTGGCCCAGCGAGTAACCTCAGCCTTGGCCCAGCGAGTAACCTCAGACTTGGCCCAGCGAGTAGTGACCTCAGCCTTGGCCCAGCGAGTGAGTGACCTCAGCCTTGGCCCAGCGAGTGAGTGACCTCAGCCTTGGCCCAGCGAGTGAGTAACGTCAGCCTTGGCCCAGCGAGTGAGTAACCTCAGCCTTGGCCCAGCGAGTGAGTGACCTCAGCCATGGCCCAGCGAGTGAGTAACCTCAGCCTTGGACCAGCGAGTGAGTAACCTCAGCCTTGGCCCAGCGAGTGAGTGACCTCAGCCTTGGCCCAGCGAGTGAGTGACCTCAGCCTTGGCCCAGCGAGTGAGTAACCTCAGCCTTGGCCCAGCGAGTGAGTAACCTCAGCCTTGGCCCAGCGAGTGAGTAACCTCAGCCTTGGCCCAGCGAGTGAGTGACCTCAGCCTTGGCCCAGCGAGTGAGTGACCTCAGCCTTGGCCCAGCGAGTGAGTGACCTCAGCCATGGCCCAGCGAGTGAGTGACCTCAGCCTTGGCCCAGCGAGTGAGTAACCTCAGCCTTGGCCCAGCGAGTGAGTGACCTCAGCCTTGGCCCAGCGAGTGAGTGACCTCAGCCATGGCCCAGCGAGAGAGTAACCTCAGCCTTGGCCCAGCGAGAGAGTAACCTCAGCCTTGGCCCAGCGAGTGAGTAACCTCAGCCTTGGCCCAGCGAGTGAGTGACCTCAGCCTTGGCCCAGCGAGTGAGTGACCTCAGCCATGGCCCAGCGAGTGAGTAACCTCAGCCTTGGCCCAGCGAGGGAGTAACGTCAGCCTTGGCCCAGCGAGTGAGTGACCTCAGCCATGGCCCAGCGAGTGAGTAACCTCAGCCTTGGCCCAGCGAGTGAGTAACCTCAGCCTTGGCCCAGCGAGTGAGTAACCTCAGCCTTGGCCTAGCGAGGGAGTAACGTCAGCCTTGGCCCAGCGAGTGAGTGACCTCAGCCATGGCCCAGCGAGTGAGTGACCTCAGCCTTGGCCCAGCGAGTGAGTAACGTCAGCCATGGCCCAGCGAGTGAGTAAGACAGCCATTGCGTCATCAACTAAGGAATGACCGGCATGTATGTGGAATGTTTATTTCTCTCTCGTGTCCTGCTCGTAGAGGGCGCCCTCTCATGTCTTGATATTCAAGAGGTAAGGGAATTTTAGGGAGTTTTCCCGTTCTTCTCATACTAGCCACCCTATCCTCTCCCTCTAGTCCTTTTTTCCCCTGCCTCCAGCTCCCCCTCTTCCCCCTGCCTCCAGCTCCCCTTTTCCCCCTGCCTCCAGCTCCCCTTTTCCCCCTGCCTCCAGCTCCCCTTTTCCCCTCCCTCCAGCCCCCTTTTCCCCTCCCTCCAGCCCCCTTTTCCCCTCCCTCCAGCCCCCTTTTCCCCTGCCTCCAGGTCCCCTTTTCCCCTCCCTCCAGCCCCCTTTTCCCCTGCCTCCAGCTCCCCTTTTCCCCTCCAGCCCCCTTTTCCCCTGCCTTCAGCCCCCTTTTCCCCTGCCTCCAGCCCCCTTTTCCCCCCTCCAGCCTCCTGGCCCCCTTTTCCCCCTGCCTCCAGGCCCCTTTTTCCCCTCCCTCCAGCCAGCCCCTTTTCCTCTGCCTCCAGCCCCCCTTTTCCCCTGCCTCCAGCCCCCCTTTTCCCCTGCCTCCAGCCCCCCTTTTCCCCTGCCTCCAGCCCCCCTTTTCCCCTGCCTCCAGCCCCCTTTTCCCCCTCCCTCAAGCCCCATTTTCCCCCTCCCAGCTCCCCTTTCCCAAGCGATGGAGTCATTGTTGTTAATTTTGGAATTAAAAAAATCCACTTTTCCGAGGCGGCGGAGGAGAGGAATGATGGATGGGAAGATAGAATCAGAGGGGGAATAAAAGAAGAGGGGGAAAGGAAGGTAAATTAAATGAAGTGAAAGGGGTGAGGGTGGTGGAAGGGGGGGGAGAGAGGGAGGGAGGGTGATGGGAGGGTATTGACACTAGAGCCACAGCGGGGCCTCCACTCCTGGGGTTAATGAATAAACTGGATTGTGCTGGGAGGGGAGCGTGCGTGCGTGCGTGCGTGCGTGTGATAATCAAGTTTTGCTAACCTACGAAGCCTGTACATCTTTCGTTAATCATGGCGGCTTCGTTTCCATTCATTAAACAGGTTGTGAACGTGGAAGCATAACAACTCCAGGTTGTTGTGAAAGCCTTGTCTGTTGAGCTGGGGAATTCATCAACTGTTAGATATAAACACAGACGCCATCATTAAGGAATAATCTCATCAATGGTTAGTCTTCGCTTTGATCATTGTTATACATATTGTGGGGCCTGGCAGCCGAGTGGACAGCGCTCGGGATTCGTAGTCCTGAGGTTCCGGGTTCGATCCCCGGTGAGGCGGAAATGTTCAGAGTTTCTTTCAATCTGATGTACCTGTTCACCTAGCAGTAAATAGGTACTTGGGAGTTAGACAGCTGCCACGGGCTGCTTCCTGGGGGATGGGGTGTGTAACAAAAAGGAGGCCTGGTCGAGGACTGGGCCGCGGGGAGGCTAAGTCCCGAAATCTTCTCAAGATAACCTCAAGATAACCTTTAGTTCCCCCGCGGGGATGAGCTATTGATTGATTGATTGATTGATTGATTGTTGTTGTTTTAGATTTAGCTACTCAGAACGAAGTGTCCATGTAGCACGGCCTATGGTGAGCCCCGTATACACCCTCCATGTCTACGAGTATTCATAACCCCCTCTAGGGTAAGGGGGATCTGAAGCTTGGGTATCCCATACCCCTTGGAGGGGGGGGGGCTTATGACTTGATCTCTGAAGAATTAAAAAAAATGTTTGGATCAAGTTGTCTGTTATAGGTCTGTTATCAATACGGATTAGGGCTGCGAGGCTAGCCACTGTCCTGTGTAAATAGTCGGTCTTTATCTGCTACAGTTTCTCTAAGTATCTCGTATGCTGTGGTCATGTCTCCGAGTCTTTATTTCTGTAGTACTGTGTCCTCTCAGCCTGTCCTCATTAAGTTAGGTCATTTATCTTTGGGAGTAATCTGCATGGTTGTATATTGCTGCAGTTATTTCGTGTGTGTGCTTGATGTGTTGGATTTTAATGTGGCGCTGCACACTAGTATCAAGTCTCACGTATGTGTGCCGTACAATATGCTAAGTGATTGCTAGATAAGAATGTTGAAATGTGCTAATGTGTTAGGCGATCTGGTGAGCGTCTCTGGTCGCAGCCTCGTGTTCACCCGAGTCTGTCACGCTGAAGTCCTCTGCCACACACCTGCCCATACTGGCTCTCCAGCACACACACCTGCCCCTCCTCCCTCTCCAGCACACACACCTGCCCCTCCTCCCTCTCCAGCACACACACCTGGACCTCTCCAGCACACACACCTGCCCCTCCTCCCTCTCCAGCACACACACCTGCCCCTCCTCCCTCTCCAGCACACACACCTGCCCCCTCCTCCCTCTCCAGCACACACACCTGCCCCTCCTCCCTCTCCAGCACACGCACCTCCCCCTCCTCCCTCTCCAGCACACACACCTGCCCCTCCTCCCTCTCCAGCACACACACCTGCCCCTCCTCCCTCTCCAGCACACACACCTGCCCCTCCTCCCTCTCCAGCACACACACCTGCCCCTCCTCCCTCTCCAGAACACACACCTGCCCCTCCTCCCTCTCCAGCACACACACCTGCCCCCTCCTCCCTCTCCAGCACACACACCTGCCCCTCCTCCCTCTCCAGCACACGCACCTGCCCCTCCTCGCTCTCCAGCACACACACCTGCCCCTCCTCCCTCTCCAGCACACACACCTGCCCCTCCTCCCTCTCCAGCACACACACCTGCCCCTCCTCCCTCTCCAGCACACGCACCTGCCCCTCCTCCCTCTCCAGCACACACACCTGCCCCTCCTCCCTCTCCAGCACACACACCTGCCCTCCTCCCTCTCCAGAACACACACCTGCCCCTCCTCCCTCTCCAGAACACACACCTGCCCCTCCTCCCTCTCCAGCACACACACCTGCCCCTCCTCCCTCTCCAGCACACGCACCTGCCCCTCCTCCCTCTCCAGCACACGCACCTGCCCCTCCTCCCTCTCCAGCACACACACCTGCCCCTCCTCCCTCTCCAGAACACACACCTGCCCCTCCTCCCTCTCCAGAACACACACCTGCCCCTCCTCCCTCTCCAGCACACACACCTGCCCCCTCCTCCCTCTCCAGCACACACACCTGCCCCTCCTCCCTCTCCAGCACACACACCTGCCCCTCCTCCCTCTCCAGAACACACACCTGTCCCTCCTCCCTCTCCAACACACACACCTGCCCCTCCTCCCTCTCCAGCACACACCTGCCCCTCCTCCCTCTCCAGAACACACACCTGCCCCTCCTCCCTCTCCAGAACACACACCTGCCCCTCCTCCCTCTCCAGCACACACACCTGCCCCCTCCTCCCTCTCCAGCACACACACCTGCCCCTCCTCCCTCTCCAGCACACACACCTGCCCCTCCTCCCTCTCCAGCACACACACCTGCCTCCTCCTCCCTCTCCAGCACACACACCTGCCCTCCTCCCTCTCCAGCACACACACCTGCCCCTCCTCCCTCTCCAGCACACACACCTGCCCCTCCTCCCTCTCCAGCACATACACCTGCCCCTCCTCCCTCTCCAGAACACACACCTGCCCCTCCTCCCTCTCCAGAACACACACCTGCCCCTCCTCCCTCTCCAGAACACACACCTGCCCCTCCTCCCTCTCCAGAACACACACCTGCCCCTCCTCCCTCTCCAGAACACACACCTGTCCCTCCTCCCTCTCCAACACACACACCTGCCCCTCCTCCCTCTCCAGAACACACACCTGCCCCTCCTCCCTCTCCAGAACACACACCTGCCCCTCCTCCCTCTCCAGAACACACACCTGCCCCTCCTCCCTCTCCAGAACACACACCTGTCCCTCCTCCCTCTCCAACACACACACCTGCCCCTCCTCCCTCTCCAGCACACACACCTGCCCCTCCTCCCTCTCCAGCACACACACCTGCCCCTCCTCCCTCTCCAGCACACACACCTGCCCCTCCTCCCTCTCCAGAACACACACCTGCCCCTCCTCCCTCTCCAGAACACACACCTGCCCCTCCTCCCTCTCCAGCACACACACCTGCCCCCTCCTCCCTCTCCAGCACACACACCTGCCCCTCCTCCCTCTCCAGCACACAAACCTGCCCCTCCTCCCTCTCCAGCACACACACCTGCCCCTCCTCCTTCTCCAGAACACACCCCTGCCCCTCCTCCCTCTCCAGAACACACACCTGCCCCTCCTCCCTCTCCAGAACACACACCTGCCCCTCCTCCCTCTCCAGCACACACACCTGTCCCTCCTCCCTCTCCAACACACACACCTGCTCCTCCTCCCTCACACACCTGGACCTCCTCCCTCACACACCTGCCACTCCTCCCTCTCCAGCACACACACCTGCCCCTCCTCCCTCTCCAGCACACACACCTGCCCCTCCTCCCTCTCCAGCACACACACCTGCCCCTCCTGCCTCTCCAGCACACACACCTGCCCCTCCTGCCTCTCCAGCACACACGCCTGCCCCTCCTGCCTCTCCAGCACACACACCTGCCCCTCCTGCCTCTCCAGCACACACGCCTGCCACTCCTCCCTCTCCAGCACACACACCTGCCCCTCCTCCCTCTCCAGCACACACGCCTGCCACTCCTCCCTCTCCAGCACACACACCTGCCCCTCCTCCCTCTCCAACACACAGACCTGCTCCTCCTCCCTCACACACCTGGACCTCCTCCCTCACACACACCTGGACCTCCTCCCTCACACACACCTGCCCCTACTCCCTCTCCAGCACACACACCTGGAGCCCCCTTACCATCACCGGTAACTCGGTAATCAGAATTTGCTTCGTTCAACCGTCCATATAACGCGGGTAAATCGTTCAATAATGGATTATAAAAACTCTCGAGTCTCTGGCATTTTTAATCCCGGTAATAACTGATCGCGGCGATAATTGGCCGTGTTTATAAAAGTTTATGACATTGGGCAAAGTCTGACTTTTTTAGCGGTAACCGGGAGAGAGTTTATTAATCAGTTGTATTTGCTCGACCTGCTGTTGTATTAAATGTATTTCTTTGGAAAATATATTTAAATATACTTTTTGTTTTGTGGGTATATTCAGGCGTTTTGATATTGGGCTCGTGTGATTTCGAATTAGTAAATGATTTTAAATGGGTATTATTAAGAATGTGTAATATGTTGTATAGGCATTGCAAATTGGGTGGTAATTTAAATAGGTATTATAGATGGGTGATATTTTAAATGGGTAAAAATATTTTAAACCGGACTTAAAATGGCAATATATGAAATAGCTATTAAAACTGATTATATTAAATAAGTAAATTAAACAGAATATTTGAATAGGTATAAAAGTATGTGATATTTAGGTAGATATTTTATTGGAAGATATTAAAGTGTGTATTAAAATAGTTGATATTTAAATAGGCATACAAAATTATTTATCTTTTAAATGGGGATTTTATTTGTCGTATCAAGAGAACATACAAATTTGACCCCAATTGATCAAATACAATACTAATCACAAGAGAAGATGTCATAAAGCTTATTAAACAAAAATCAAACCAAAGAAGTAATCAACCGAGGTTGTTGCCAGGGGTCTTAAAGACTGTAAAAGAGCTTAGTCAGCAATTACTAGGTTAATGGCCTTGTTAAGCCAGACTGTTAGACACGGCTGTTATCAGTCTGACGTGTGAATCACAGCCCGGTTGATCATATGTCCTTGCACGGGTTCATCAAGTTTTAGTTTGAAGAACGGGAGAACTCGGCTAGTTATGCCCCTTGTTTAAAGAGGGAGAGAGGGAGAGGGAGGGAGAGGGACAGAGGGGGAGAGGGAGGGGGAGGGGGAGGGGGAGGGGAGGGAAGGGGAGAGGGAGGGAGGGAAGGGGAGAGGGAGGGAGGGAAGGGGAGAGGGAGGGAGGGAGGGAAGGGGAGAGGGAGGGAGGGAGAGAAGGGGAGAGGGAGGGAGGGAGGGAAGGGGAGAGGGAGGGAGGGAAGGGGAGAGGGAGGGAGGGAGGGAAGGGGAGAGGGAGGGAGGGAAGGGGAGAGGGAGGGAGGGAAGGGGAGAGGGAGGGAGGGGGAGAGAGAGAGAGAGAGGGTGGGAGGGAGGGAAGGAGGCTTAGATAGCAAAGGAGGGAGAAATATTATTATTTTGTTTAAATGGTATATAGATCGTTAGCAATTAACAATCGTCCAATATGGCGTCAATTGTGGGAAATCTACTTCAAGCGTTAAGTACAAGTATCATTCATCCTGTCTTGAGACAAATAACTCGCCAGAGGACGATTGCATCTGACGAATTATTTCTCTATCTTCAAGAACACGTAAAGCAGTTTCAAGTATACCTCGCCTGCCTTAAAGATAAGAATAATCTTAATATTCTTCTCGGTCCTTAATGTGAGGACCGAGGAATCTTCAAAGAGACATCGGGAGTACTTTGAAGAGGTGATACTACCTTTTAAGGGTACTAAAGGGGGTAGTAATAGTACCCTTTAGTACCCCTTACGGGTACCCAACGTGAGGGGTACTAAACCATGGGTTTAGTACCCCTCACGGCCTGCCTGGCACCACCTACGTATCCCCATCTTTACTTTATCTTTACTTTCACTTTTGTTTCGTCTTTATTTTTAACTTTATTACTTATCCTGCAGAGTCCTTGTGGTTGTCGTCCTTGTGACAGTCGTCCTTGTGACAGTCGTCCTTGTGACAGTCGTCCTTGTGACAGTCGTCCTTGTGACAGTCGTCCTTGTGACAGTCGTCCTTGTGACAGGCGTCCTTGTGACAGGCGTCCTTGTGACAGGCGTCCTTGTGACAGTCGTCCTTGTGACAGTCGTCCTTGTGACAGTCGTCCTTGTGACAGTCGTCCTTGTGACAGGCGTCCTTGTGACAGGCGTCCTTGTGACAGTCGACCTTCAGACAGGCGTACTTGTGACAGGCGTCCTTGTGACAGGCGTCCTTGTGACAGGCGTCCTTGTGACAGGCGTCCTTGTGACAGGCGTCCTTGTGACAGGCGTCCTTGTGACAGGCGTCCTTGTGACAGGCGTCCTTGTGACAGGCGTCCTTGTGACAGTCGTCCTTGTGACAGTCGTCCTTGTGACAGTCGTCCTTGTGACAGTCGTCCTTGTGACAGTCGTCCTTGTGACAGGCGTCCTTGTGACAGGCGTCCTTGTGACAGTCGTCCTTGTGACAGTCGTCCTTGTGACAGTCGTCCTTGTGACAGTCGTCCTTGTGACAGGCGTCCTTGTGACAGTCGACCTTCAGACAGGCGTCCTTGTGACAGGCGTCCTTGTGACAGGCGTCCTTGTGACAGGCGTCCTTGTGACAGGCGTCCTTGTGACAGGCGTCCTTGTGACAGTCGACCTTCAGACAGGCGTCCTTGTGACAGGCGTCCTTGTGACAGGCGTCCTTGTGACAGGCGTCCTTGTGACAGGCGTCCTTGTGACAGGCGTCCTTGTGACAGTCGACCTTCAGACAGGCGTCCTTGTGACAGGCGTCCTTGTGACAGTCGTCCTTGTGACAGTCGTCCTTGTGACAGTCGTCCTTGTGACAGTCGTCCTTGTGACAGGCGTCCTTGTGACAGTCGACCTTCAGACAGGCGTCCTTGTGACAGTCGTCCTTGTGACAGGCGTCCTTGTGACAGTCGTCCTTGTGACAGTCGTCCTTGTGACAGGCGTCCTTGTGACAGTCGACCTTCAGACAGTCCTTGTGACAGGCGTCCTTGTGACAGGCGTCCTTGTGACAGTCGTCCTTGTGACAGTCGTCCTTGTGACAGGCGTCCTTGTGACAGTCGTCCTTGTGACAGGCGTCCTTGTGACAGTCGTCCTTGTGACAGGCGTCCTTGTGACAGGCGTCCTTGTGACAGGCGTCCTTGTGACAGTCGTCCTTGTGACAGTCGTCCTTGTGACAGGCGTCCTTGTGACAGGCGTCCTTGTGACAGGCGTCCTTGTGACAGGCGTCCTTGTGACAGGCGTCCTTGTGACAGGCGTCCTTGTGACAGGCGTCCTTGTGACAGGCGTCCTTGTGACAGTCGTCCTTGTGACAGTCGTCCTTGTGACAGTCGACCTTCAGACAGGCGTCCTTCAGACAGTCGTCCTTCAGACAGGCGTCCTTCAGACAGGCGTCCCTCCAGACAGGCGTCCCTCCAGACAGGCGTCCCTCCAGACAGGCGTCCTTCAGACAGGCGTCCTTCAGACAGGCGTCCTTCAGACAGGCGTCCTTCAGACAGGTGTCCTTCAGACAGGCGTCCTCCAGACAGGCGTCCTTCAGACAGGCGTCCTTCAGACAGGCGTCCTCCAGACAGGCGTCCCTCCAGACAGGCGTCCATCCAGACAGGCGTCCCTCCAGACAGGCGTCCCTCCAGACAGGCGTCCTTCAGACAGGCGTCCCTCCAGACAGGCGTCCTCCAGACAGGCGTCCCTCCAGACAGGCGTCCCTCCAGACAGGCGTCCCTCCAGACAGGCGTCCTTCAGACAGGCGTCCTCCAGACAGGCGTCCCTCCAGACAGGCGTCCCTCCAGACAGGCGTCCCTCCAGACAGGCGTCCCTCCAGACAGGCGTCCCTCCAGACAGGCGTCCCTCCAGACAGGCGTCCCTCCAGACAGGCGTCCCTCCAGACAGGCGTCCCTCCAGACAGGCGTCCCTTCAGACAGGCGTCCCTCCAGACAGGCGTCCCTCCAGACAGGCGTCCCTCCAGACAGGCGTCCCTCCAGCCAGGCGTCCCTCCAGACAGGCGTCCCTCCAGACAGGCGTCCTTCAGACAGGCGTCCTTCAGACAGGCGTCCTTCAGACAGGCGTCCTTCAGACAGGCGTCCTTCAGACAGGCGTCCTTCAGACAGGCGTCCTCCAGACAGGCGTCCCTCCAGACAGGCGTCCCTCCAGACAGGCGTCCCTCCAGACAGGCGTCCCTCCAGACAGGCGTCCCTCCAGACAGGCGTCCTTCAGACAGGCGACCTTCAGACAGGCGTCCTTCAGACAGGCGTCCTACAGACAGGCGTCCCTCCAGACAGGCGACCTTCAGACAGGCGTCCTTCAGACAGGCGTCCTACAGACAGGCGTCCTACAGACAGGCGTCCCTCCAGACAGGCGTCCCTCCAGACAGGCGTCCCTCCAGACAGGCGTCCCTCCAGACAGGCGTCCCTACAGACAGGCGTCCCTCCAGACAGGCGTCCCTCCAGACAGGCGTCCCTCCAGACAGGCGTCCTACAGACAGGCGTCCTACAGACAGGCGTCCTTCAGACAGGCGTCCTACAGACAGGCGTCCTACAGACAGGCGTCTCTCCAATGTTTCCACAACTTAATTGCATATTTGCATTAAATGCCGATGGTGCTAATGTGGCATTCCCCGATCATGAAAGTTCTCATTATCCAGCCCGTCATTTTCCTGGCCTCTGCAATTTTCATGTTAAGCGCTCTAAACGGTACGAGTTTTGTCTTATTGTTGTTGCAAGAGATCTTGAAAGAGGTCTTGCAAGAGATCTTGCAAGAGGTCTTGCAAGAGGTCTTGCAAGAGGTCTTGCAAGGGATCTCACTTGGCCTGGCCTTACTATGAGGAGATCACAGTTCTCTGGCCTGGCCTTTTTCTTAAGGTTTAAATTTTGTTTTCCGTACAGAAGCATTTGGAATTGATCACAGATAAAGGTCTTGTTGTATTGTTCATTTGGAAGGTTTTGTTGAGTGATGATAGTTCTCGTGTCGGTCATTGGTGTAATTTTCATACGTACATTGTTGTCATTCTCGGAGGAGGACGGAAAATGTGTTTATTCCCTGTGAAAATATTTTTACGGGCATGACGAGGAGTTCCAGTACGTGATTCGTGGGACCTGTGGGGGCCAAGCTTCACGCTGGGACCTGTGGGGGCCAAGCTTCACGCTGGGACCTGTGGGGGCCAAGCTTCACGCCGGGACCTGTGGGGGCCAAGCTTCACGCTGGGACCTGTGGGAGCCAAGCTTCACGCTGGGACCTGTGGGGGCCAAGCTTCACGCTGGGACTTGTGGGGGCCAAGCTTCACGCTGGGACCTGTGGGGGCCAAGCTTCACGCTGGGACCTGTGGGGGCCAAGCTTCACGCTGGGACCTGTGGGGGGCCAAGCTTCACGCTGGGACCTGTGGGGGCCAAGCTTCACGCTGGGACCTGTGGGGGCCAAGCTTCACGCTGGGACCTGTGGGGGCCAAGCTTCACGCTGGGACCTGTGGGGGCCAAGCTTCACGCTGGGACCTGTGGGGGGCCAAGCTTCACGCTGGGACCTGTGGGGGGCCAAGCTTCACGCCGGGACCTGTGGGGGCCAAGCTTCACGCCGGGACCTGTGGGGGCCAAGCTTCACGCCGGGACCTGTGGGGGCCAAGCTTCACGCCGGGATCTGTGGGGCCAAGCTTCACGTCGGGACCTGTGGGGCCAAGCTTCACTTCGGGACCTGTGGGGCCAAGGCATGAAGCTTGGTGACGCCCAAGATCAACACCCAAGGTGCCGTGAAGCAGCAGCAGCAGCAGCAGCAGGTGGCGGTGTGATCTTAGGTGTTGAGCACATACATAAATATTCCAGAGAATTACACGTCGAAGAACGTGGCGTCTTAACCTTTTGTTTGTCATTCCTCAGCAGCGCTGTTCACTTCCTTTATCCTCACTCCTTTAATGTGTCCCTTCAAGACGATGATTAATAGTCCTTAACGGAAGAGATGGTTCCGTCACTAGACCAGTAGGTCAGTGCGGACATGTTAATCCTTCTTTATACTTGTCGTTGTAATCTAGGACTCGATGAGGGGAGAACAAAGTGTGTTTACAGCGGCTTGACAACCAGAGGGGAAGAAGTAATTGAAGTGAGGGGTTGCTCTTGACGTAGCGAAGATGATCCATTTATGTAGAAGGGAAGATGGATTATGTGGTGCGGAAACCAATTACCGTAAGAGGTCATGGGGTCAAGAACAGCCCTGTACCACGCTTCATCAAGCATAATGGGCCAACATTCAATGGGAAACTGTTCTAAGTAATAAAAATCCTACACAAGGAATAGAAAAACTGACTTCTGAAGCATATCAAGTCTGTCTGAAACATGTTCCTTTGAGGAAAGCCAGAAAGAGGTCCAGTGTAGAAAGAGAACCCAGACGACACATCAAAAGAAGGAAAAAATAACGGAAATGCTTAAGCAGTCACAACTATCCATACAAAGATGAAATAATTTAAACAGGGAGATTGAAGAAATCCAATAGAGACTGAAGCTTTCATATCAGTTTGAAGAAAGGCAACTAGAACAGAAAGCAATTCAAGAATTAAAGAAAACGCTAAAATATTTCTTCACATATAAGAAATCAAAAGCAAAAACCACTGCCAGTATTGGACCTATTCGTACAGGTGAACGTTCATACACTGAGAACAAAGAAATTAGTGAAATCTTAAAGCAGTATGAGGACATGTTCAATAAACAGCATGAAAGTGGAAGATGCGGACAACTTATTTATGCGTGATATCCAACCCCCTGTAAATATAACTGATGTCAACACGACCGTGGCATATTTTGCAAGGGGAACAGACAACATGCCCATGCACTCAACCCCGGGGTCAAGCTCGTGGAATTAAATTTTTATAAAGAAATGCAAGGTGCCATTAGCGCAGGCACTCAGTATAGTGTGGAGGAAGAGCTTGGACACGGGGGAGATACCAGATGCGCTTAAAGCAGCAGACATTGCCCCTCTACACATGGGAGGGAGCAAAGCATTGGCAAAGAATTATAGACCAGTTGCACTAACATCCCACATAATAAACGTTTTTGAGAGAGTGATCAGGAGTTAGGTCACTAGTTTCATAGAGACCAATGACCTTCACATCCCAGGCCAACATGCATTTAGCAGGAAGATCATGCCTCTCACAGCTACTTGACCACTATGACAAAAAGCATTGAGGCATTAGAAGAAAAACAGAATTCAGATGTCGTATACACGGATTTTGCAAAGGCATTCGATAAATGTGACCATGGAGTCATGGCACACAAAATGAGGTCAGTGGGAATAACTGGTAAAGTAGGACGCTGAATACTCAGTTTTCTGTTGAACAGAACACAAAGAGTAACAGTCTAACATATAAAATCTGGTCCAAGCGCAGTTAAAAGCTCTGTACCTCAGTGTACAGTCCTTGCACCGCTGCTTTTCCTTCTTCTTATATCAGATATAGACTCAAATACTTCGTATCATCCTTTGCAGATGACACAAAAATCAGCATGAAAATTACCTCTGTTGAAGACATTGAAAAACTACAAGCAGATATTAATAAAGTTTTCGATTAGGCAGCAGAAAATAACAAGTTGGTTTAACAGTGATAAATTCCTGGTATTCAGGAACGGTAAAAATGAGGAGCTGAAACATAATACAGGGTACAAAAAACTCAATCAAATCTGCCCATAGTAGGAAAACAGCATGTAAAGGATTTGGGAATAATGCTGTCTGACGACCTTACGTTTAGGGAGCATAACCAAGCAAATATTGCGACAGCCAGAAAAATGATCGGATGGATTACGAGAACTTTTAAATCCAGGGATCCCATCACAATTGTTGTACTCTTCAAGTCACTTGTGTTGTCCCGTCTCGAGTACTGCTCAGTACTCACTTCCCCCTTGAGAGCAGGAGAGGTTGCTGAAATAGAGGAAATACTAAGAACATGGACATATTTGACGCGATAAAGCACCTAAATTATTGGGATCGTCTCAAAGTTCTCCAAATGTACTTGCTAAAAAGAAGACGAGAGAGGTATTAAATAATATATACCTGGAATATACTGGAGTGCCAGGTTTCAAATCTACACAGTAAAATAACAACGTACTGGAGTGAACGATATGAAAGAAAATGCAGAATAGAACCAGTGAAGAAGGGGTGCAGGGGTGCCATAGGCACAATCAGAGAACACTGTATAAACATCAGAGGTCCACGGTTGTTCAACACCCTCCCAGCGAGCATAAGAAATATTGCCGGAACAACCGTGGACATCTTCAAGAGAAAACTAGATTATTTTCTCCAAGGAGTGCCGGACCAACCGGGCCGTGGTGGATATGTGGGCCTGCGGGCCGCTCCAAGCAACAGCCTGGTGGACCAAACTCTCAGAAGTCAAGCCTGACCTCGGGCCGGGCTTGGGGAGTAGAAGAACTCCCAGAACCCCATCAACCAGGTATCAACCAGGTATCATATATGTTGTAGATCCCCTCTCACAGTGGACTGCAGGAACATGATAAGTTGATGCCCTTGCAAAGCTTGCCGTAAATAAGGACACAGCTGAACGTAATCTTAAGCTATCCAGTAGAACCCTTAAAAGTGTTATTAGTCGAGAACTCGTAGATGAATGTGAAGAAAATAAAGTAGTGCAAACAGGTAGTAGCAGATCCTTTGTTTAGGACATGAGATGTGTCAAACAAATAAAGTAAACAAGTAAACAGTCGGGGCTAGTAAACAAATGAGTGACAGTGACAGGCATTGTCACACCTCGAATACGACTTGACTGCAGGTCAATACGACTTGACTGCAGGCTTGTATAAGGATCTAGATGAAGTAAAGTGTAAAGTGTGTGGACTAAGACAGGGACACACGCTAGACCATTACATCTGAGACTGTAAACAAATGAGCCATTTAGAAATCAATCTAAACTCACGATGCATGAAATGGCAAACCATCGTATTACAAATGATAGAATACTTATAAAAAATCCTTTCACGGTATCCATGTGTCTCTTCTATTAACTAAATGACATGTGTGAGATTAATGTATAAGCTTTGTAGTGTCAAGATTAAGAATAAGAAGCCCTCTAGAGTAGTCCATTGTAGCTGGGTAGACTTCACATTTCATCTTTGTAAAGGAACATTAATCACATTTTGTGGGTGAGTAGTCAATGGGCAACTGTACTGTATGTAAGAGAACATATCTCGAACCATTTCTATCTTAGGACAGACAGACATGTATGTACTGTATAGGGGTTAGTATTGTAAAAGTACTCCGACCACTTTGTGGTTGAGTAGTCAATAACGATATTACTGTTCCGTGTGTGTGTCTATGTAGCACAGACACACATTATGGTTAGCATTGTAAATGTACCCTGATTACTCTCTGTGTTTGAGTGCTCACACGACACAATATGTTGTCAAACAGATCTCTTAACCATTGTTTGTTTACGGCGGACGACAATGTATAAATTGCAAAAGCACTTCCAACACATGTGGGCGAGTGCTAAAATATCGATTTGCACGATACTGATGACAGATCTCTTACCCTATCCGCGAAGGCCAGAAGAAAATCTGTATGTGCTGGCTAGCATTATACAAGTGAACGGCCTCGTCTGTGGTAGGGGGGGGGGAATTTGACTATATACATTTTCCCCTGGTCCTTTTGGCAGGCAGGCCTGGTTGGAGACCGGGCCGCGGGGCTGTTGATCCCCCGGAGGCTACACAAAGTAATATTAGGGCTTGTATGATGTAGTTAGGGGTCTTGTTTTAGGCAGAATTAAGCCATTGGTGTATCTTGAGGTTATCTTGAGATGATTTCGGGGCTTTAGTGTCCCCGCGGCCCGGTCCTCGACCAGGCCTCCACCCCCCAGGAAGCAGCCCGTGACAGCTGACTAACTCCCAGGTACCTATTTACTGCTAGGTAACAGGGGTATTCAGGGTGAAAGAAACTTTGCCTAAGTGGTATTATATACACATTATATACACATTATATACACATTATATACGGGGGGGGGAATGTTTCTCGGGAGCTCAAGGCCCTCGTCGTGAATGTGTGGCTGTATAATAGCTGATAACATATAACATTTAAGGGTTTAAAGTTCATGTTCTGTGATAATGAACGTTAGTTTACTGATAATTATACTACTGTATATGTAATGTAGTATATATATATAGCCTTGTAAAATTTATGTATATATGATTTATATTGTATTTAATTATATAAAGATAAACAAAATCCTATTATGTTCCTCGCGGTGTGGTGAATGGTTACGTCTTCCCAGATAATCAATACCCTTCATTGCTATATATTAAATGGCATTTATTAATTGATTCCATAAGTTATTTCTGTCACGGTTCGAAGTGTGTTTTACTCCATGGGTTCGACTCTCCTTTGTCTATAGGATACAAGTGACAGCAAACCAAACCATCTGACTTTACCTACCGTAGGTCTACCTATACAAGTAACGGTAATATAGAATAATAATTTATGTGAGAAAATGTTGATTATAGAGCAGGTTAACATTGAGGACGAGGTCTTGGGGTTGTACAGGCTGCTTGATCCTTGATTAGGCCTCCCTCCCTCCTCTCTTGTGTGATGGGGGGGGGGGGTCATGGCGTCTCGAAATGGTAGTTTCTATAGTGTAAAGAAATTTGCATTGCATGGCCCTCCCCCCATTACTTCTCATGTGGAAGTTATGTGAGATTCCTGGTGCTATTTAGGCTCGTGAGCTACCTGCTTGATACCTGCTTGACGGGGTTCTGGGAGTTGTTCTACTACTCTGACTTATGAGAGCTTGGTCCAACAGGCTGTTTCTTGGAGCGGCCCGCTGGCCCATACCAACCACAGCCCGGTTGGTCCGGCACTTCTTGGAGAAAATTATCTAGTTTTCTCTTGAAGATGTCCACGGTTGTTCGGGCAATATTTCTTATGCTCGCTGGGAGGGTGTTAAACAACCGCGGACCTCTGATGTTTATACAGTGTTCTCTGATTGTGCCTATGGCACCTCTGCTCTTCACTGGTTCTATTCTGCATTTTCTTCCATATCGTTCACTCCAGTATGTTGTTATTTTACTGTGTAGATTAGGGACCTGGCCTTCCAGTACCTTCCACGTGTATATTATGTGTATATTATATTACTACAATCACTGGAATGCCACAGTGTGCCTAACAAGCCTACCACTAACAACCTCACCTGTCTCGTTTGTAAATGACCTGGAAGTTGACTTGTAAATTGCTCCAGCTGAACGTAAATACAAGAAAGCCTGATGGTCAGAACCCTTTTGAGGTTTCAGTTGAATCCCTTTTTGTCATGCTTTTACCTTGTCGTTTTGTAGTGGTGTAAGGCGTGTGGTTGGCAGTACCCAGTGTGCAGGTTCGAATCCTCCCCACGGCTCCTACTGGTTTTCTCATTCATACATCACGTTAGTGATTGTTTTGTGTGCTTATGTATGCTTGTTGTACCTAGTAGCCAGAATGCTGTTCTTGGCCTACTATGCAAGGCCCGATTTGCGTAATAAGCCAAGTTTTCCTGAATTTCTATATTTTCCAATTTTTTTCTTATTAAATGATAAAGCTATCCGTTTGATTATGTATGAGTTAATTTTGTTAAATTTGAGTTACAACTAACGTAGATACATGACCGAACCAACCCTACCTAACCTAACCTATCTTAACCTAACCTAAACTAACATAACTAAATCAATAATTTATATTCTTAATGTAATAATTATATTTAAAATAAACCAATTGGAAACAGTTTATTGAAAATAAAGAAAATCACTCGGCCTATTAGGCAAATCGGGCCTTGCATAGTAGGCGGAGAAGTGCGTTCTGGCTACTAGGTACGACATGCATATATATATATATATATATATATATATATATATATATATATATATATATTAGTATATTTTGGTAGCAGTCTTTCCTGTAGACATATATTATTAAATATGACCGAAAAAGTAAGATTAATAATTCTAACACGAATTTTCTCAATCTTTCGTACATTACGCTTCACTGTTGGAGGTAAATCAAAAATCACTTCTCCAAAATTCATTTTTATTTCTAGTCTGACGCGACACGGGCGCGTTTCGTAAAACTTATTACATTTTCAAAGACTTCACAAATACACAACTGATTAGAACTTACGTATCTCTGATTTTATATCTACATTTGAGTGAGGTGGGAGGGGTGATGTGGCATTAACACAAGACAGAACAAGAGGGGATATTAATAGGGTATTAAAAGTATCAACACAAGACAGAACAGAAACAATGGGTATTGAATAGAAGTGTTTGTAGAAAGCCTATTGGTCCATATTTCTTGATGCTTCTATATTGGAGCGGAGTCTTGAGGTGGGTAGAATATAGTTGTGCAATAATTGGCTGTTGATTGCTGGTGTTGACTTCTTGATGTGTAGTGCCTCGCAAACGTCAAGCCGCCTGCTATCGCTGTATCTATCGATGATTTACATCGAATAGATACATAGATAGATACACATCGATAGATACAGCGATAGCAGGCGGCTTGACGTTTGCGAGGCACTACACATCAAGAAGTCAACACCAGCAATCAACAGCCAATTATTGCACAACTATATTCTACCCACCTCAAGACTCCGCTCCAATATAGAAGCATCAAGAAATATGGACCAATAGGCTTTCTACAAACACTTCTATTCAATACCCATTGTTTCTGTTCTGTCTTGTGTTGATACTTTTAATACCCTATTAATATCCCCTCTTGTTCTGTCTTGTGTTAATGCCACATCACCCCTCCCACCTCACTCAAATGTAGATATAAAATCAGAGATACGTAGTTCTAATCAGTTGTGTATTTGTGAAGTCTTTGAAAATGTAATAAGTTTTACGAAACGCGCCCGTGTCGCGTCAGACTAGAAATAAAAATGAATTTTGGAGAAGTGATTTTTGATTTACCTCCAACAGTGAAGCGTAATGTACGAAAGATTGAGAAAATTCGTGTTAGAATTATTAATCTTACTTTTTCGGTCATATTTAATAATATATATATATATATATATATATATATATATATATATATATATATATATATATATATATATATATATATATATATATATAAAAGAAAGCATGGCTATTTATTACTATTTGCACCTGCCTGCCTGGCTGCCTTCGTGGCATGGAAGATGCAGAACATGACAAGTAATCCAGGCGCTGTGTCTCCAGACACCGTATATAACCTGTTCCAGACTGCCACAGACAACCTGAGAACTGGTCGTGGACAGTGTCAAACACTCGAATTTCTTAAGTCTTTTACGAGAAATTCTTACCGACGAGCGGGAGTGTTTAGCAGCGGGGTCCTTTGTTAAGTCAAGCTTCACCAGGGATGGTGGCCCGTACTCAAACTTAAGTTTGGGCGAGAGGCTTCAGAATGGTGGTGGGTCTCATATTGGGCTTCAGTGACGAGTCAGCTGGCCAGGACAGTGCCCAGCTCGCCCCATTACTAACCAGGTGGTTTTAAGGTATTGGTGGTGAACACTGAGGAGCAGAACTCCTCTACATGTGTTTGACAGTAGTGAGCTTCCCTGCGTGTGGTGCTGCACCGCTGCCTGCCACTCATGTTTGCGTCTACACACACCAGGCGTGACGACATGACTGTCCACACACACACACACACACACACACACACACACACACACACACACACACACACACACTGACTCTTGTAGGTGTGTGTGACGCTGATCAAAATGGTGGTGATTGTGATGGTGGTAGATCATTCCAGATGGTGGTGGTTGTTTGGGTAGTAGTAATGGTGGTGGGGATTGCCCTGTGGTGGGTGTGGTTATGGTAGTGGTGGACAGGTCAGGTCAATATCAGACTAGGGTCAGCGATGGATGACCCAGAGACAAACACAGCGGTCGCTTGGTCAACAGAATTAGCCAAGTTGGAGTTGTTTGTCCAGGAGACCTTGACGGAGGGGGGGGGAGGACCATGACGGGGGGCCATGACGGGGGGGGGGACCTTGACGGAGGGGGGGTGACCTTGACGGAGGGGGGGGACCTTAACGGAGGGGGGGACCTTAACGGAGGGGGGGGGGGGTCCTTGACGGAAGGGGGGGATCTTGACGGAGGGGGGGAACCTTGACGGAGGGAGACCTTGACGGCAGGGAGACCTTGACGGCAGGGAGACCTTGACGGCAGGGAGACCTTGACGGCAGGAGTGGTGGCCGGGGGGGGGGAGGGTAAGAGTGAAGGGGTTGACAGATTGAAGAAAAGAAAACGCAGTGTGGCACGAAAAACAAAAACAATTTTATATAAATTTTATTTATTACCCACACCATGTTGAGGGCCTCCTGAGATGGAGCGCCCACGGCTCTTCTCTCTCCCACATTCTCCCCCCCCCCCCTACGTGTGTCTGTATCTCCTGTCTCCTGGAGGTCAGGAGAGCTCGGGGAGGCATGATCACTTCCTACAAAATTCTCAGAGGAATTGGCAGGGTAGAAATGGATAAACTGTTTAAGACGGGTGTTACGCGCACAAGGGGACACATGTGGGTACTGAGTACCCAAATGAGCCACAGGGATATTTGGAAGAACCTTTTCAGTGTCAGAGTAGTTAACAAATGGAATTCATTAGACAGTGATGTGGTGGAGGCTGATAGATCCCAGTAGGCTCAGGAATCTGTACATCATTTGATTGACAGTTGAGAGGCGGCACCAAAGAGCCAAAGCTCAACCCCCGCAAGCACAACTAGGTGAGTACCTATAACACCATAAATGTGTTTAGTTTATCAATATCAAGACGGGATATTTGAGGCGCCAGACGGCCGACCTTTAGTAAATAAAAGCCACACCTACACAAGTGAGAGTGACCACAAGTTGACCAACAGCCTGGTTGACCAGTTCAGCTCTTAAAAATAACGTCACTCTTGGCTCGTATGCGCACTATGGCCAAATTTGGACGTAATTTGAAATGAAATCGACTCACAAAAGTGACGTACTGTTCCGTTTTCTGTTTGAGTCGTCCGGCTGACTCGGTAAGCTAGAACAGGCAACTTTCAATTCACGTTTTTCATAACGTTTTGAAACTTATGAGAATTTTCTGCCCACCTAACCTATCAGAGGACCCTTAACTTACAGCTGTTGAAAAAAAAAATCCAAAATTTATTTTCATTTTTTTTTCATTTTCAAATTACGTCCACTTTCGGCCATACGGGCAAACGGCCAAAAGCGACGTTATTTTTAAGAGGACAGGTTGCAAACAACAAGGAGGCCTGGTCGACAACCGGGCCGTGGGGTCGCTAAGCCCCGGAATCACCTCAAGGTAACCTCAAGGTAAGGGCCCAGGGGTCAGGTTTAGTATTAATACAAAACCAAAATAATTCTATAATGTTAAGAGCACAAGTTGGACAAATTGTATAGTTAGGAACCAGGTTAATACTTGGGGTCATAAGAGAGGAACACCATATTCGTGTTTCCAGGATGAGGAACACATCCCGAGCGCCAGCAGGAGGCAGGAACACATCCCGAGCGCCAGAAGGAGGCAGAAACACATCCCGAGCACCAGCAAGAGGCAGGAACACATCCCGAGCACCAGCAGGAGGCAGGAACACATCCCGAGCGCCAGCAGGAGGCAATAACACATCCCGAGCGCCAGCAGGAGGCAGGAACACATCCCGAGCACCAGCAGGAGGCAATAACACATCCCGAGCGCCAGCAGGAGGCAATAACACATCCCGAGCGCCAGCAGGAGGCAGGAACACATCCCGAGCACCAGCAGGAGGCAATAACACATCCCGAGCGCCAGCAGGAGGCAATAACACATCCCGAGCGCCAGCAGGAGGCAATAACACATCCCGAGCACCAGCAGGAGGCAATAACACATCCCGAGCACCAGCAGGAGGCAATAACACATCCCGAGCACCAGCAGGAGGCAATAACACATCCCGAGCGCCAGCAGGAGGCAATAACACATCCCGAGCACCAGCAGGAGCAATAACACATCCCGAGCACCAGCAGGAGCAATAACACATCCCGAGCGCCAGCAGGAGGCAATAACACATCCCGAGCGCCAGCAGGAGGCAATAACACATCCCGAGCGCCAGCAGGAGGCAATAACACATCCCGAGCGCCAGCAGGAGGCAATAACACATCCCGAGCGCCAGCAGGAGGCAGGAACACATCCCGAGCGCCAGCAGGAGGCAATAACACATCCCGAGCGCCAGCAGGAACATTTCCTTATCCCACACCACAGCCTTACGGGGCTCGACCTCTCGTTCCGAGCTCCGGCCGTCCTCCCGGCATCTGCTCGACCGAGGAATTCAATCACGTTCTTAAGAGGGTGTTTGGCGGGGTGGTGAGGAGGTGGCTGTTGTTTGTGGCCCGCACCACCAGGGGTTAAAGTGGTTTCCTGGAGACGTAATGCACTTTGAGGCTTGAATTGGACTGTTACGCTCCCAGGTACACGCTAGTTGCTGTTGTGGTGCTCTTCACTCTCATCTCCTGCTGTTGTGGTGATCTCCACACTCATCTCCTGCTGTTGTGGTGATCTCCACACTCATCTCCTGCTGTTGTGGTGATCTTCACTCTCATCTCCTGTTGTGGTGATCTCCACACTCATCTCCTGCTGTTGTGGTGATCTTCACACTCATCTCCTGCTGTTGTGGTGATCTCCACACTCATCTCCTGCTGTTGTGGTGATCTTCACACTCATCTCCTGCTGTTGTGGTGATCTCCACACTCATCTCCTGCTGTTGTGGTGATCTTCACTCTCATCTCCTGCTGTTGTGGTGATCTCCACACTCATCTCCTGCTGTTGTGGTGATCTCCACACTCATCTCCTGCTGTTGTGGTGATCTTCACACTCATCTCCTGCTGTTGTGGTGATCTTCACACTCATCTCCTGCTGTTGTGGTGATCTTCACTCTCATCTCCTGCTGTTGTGGTGATCTCCACACTCATCTCCTGCTGTTGTGGTGATCTCCACACTCATCTCCTGCTGTTGTGGTGATCTTCACACTCATCTCCTGCTGTTGTGGTGATCTTCACACTCATCTCCTGCTGTTGTGGTGATCTTCACACTCATCTCCTGCTGTTGTGGTGATCTTCACACTCATCTCCTGCTGTTGTGGTGATCTTCACTCTCATCTCCTGCTGTTGTGGTGATCTTCACTCTCATCTCCTGCTGTTGTGGTGATCTTCACACTCATCTCCTGCTGTTTTGGTGATCTTCACACTCATCTCCTGCTGTTGTGGTGATCTTCACACTCATCTCCTGCCTCTTGGAACACACACTTCAGTGGTCTTTGATGTTTTTATGTAGTGCTGTTATGTTTGTGTTAATTTTGTGTTGTGCTGTTTTGTGTTGTGTTAATTTTGTGTTGTGCTGTTTTGTGTTGTGTTAATTTTGTGTAGTGATATATTTATTGAATGCTCTTTCTTTTCTGGCATTGACGTCTTTGCTTTTATTATGATACACCTTTACTGGGGACACCTATACATCACAACATTGGCAGTGTTGCCCCACAAAAAACTAGACAAGAGAGAAACAAGAAGTACCTGAGGATGTTCCTGGCTGCTCGTCGCTCGTCAACATTCAACTAAGAAGATTGGACATTATTTTTACCTTGTTTACA